ATTGATGCTCTCAAAAACAAACTTACAAGGATTATAACTAGCATGCTTGAATGTCCAGAGAAAGGTAAATTTTTAATTCAAACATAAAATCACTTTTAACTTATCATGCTTAAATGATAAATCGATTGATGAGTGGAAGCAACAGGGAAGGATTTGGTGAGTTTTACGAGATCGTGAAGAAGATAAAGAAAGATCCAACCTTTGAAACGACGACGGATCATGCCGTGATGGGTATAAGGAGACACGTGGCGGTGCCTCCGGGTACAACGTTGAACACCGTGACTCCATGCGCCGCTTGTAAACTCCTCCGCCGTCGTTGCGCGGAGGATTGCCCTTTCTCGCCGTACTTCTCGCCGCACGAACCTCACAAATTCGCCGCCGTTCATAAAGTCTTCGGGGCCAGTAACGTCTCCAAGATGCTTCTGGTACTTACATACATGCATATATATTTTATTCCTTAATTACTCTCTTTGGATCCATATCATATATTTGATTAATATGGGGATATAACTTGAACGGATCTACCACTTTAATTTTTTTTGTTTGACTCGATCTTTCCAAATTTATTTTTAAAACAATTTTTTTCATTCTGATCGATTTGTCATATAGTCCATGTGGTTTATTTACTTGGTAGAGGTATATATTCATTATCATTAGATGCATAATATTTAGATCGAGGGATTTTTTTTTTCCCCCCGGTTTACAAGTAGTAGGATATTGAGCTTATATGCGCGTATATGTTCGTATTTTAATCATATTAAAATGACAAATGATCCTAATACATCAGTCTTTTCTTAGAATATATATTTTATTATAACAAAAAAATACATTTTCTACTGATTATCCACTTGCGATTTTACATAATTGTACGATCAAATTCCTATAGACCATTGTATCGATCTTGTACGCATTTAAGTAGGTGTTTACAACAGTTTTAAACAATGTTTCGTTGCACTAAGAAACTCATTATCTTAATTTTCAAAAAACAAAAAAAGCCTTACTATCTTTAAAAAAAACAAATTAAAATATACATTTAAGATTTAACCCCCAAAAATAAATTGCCATTCGCATTACTTCTTGATAAAAGAAAAACAAAAATTCACAGTATAAAATTCCTTGTTAGAGAATTTCCATAATATTTTCTATAAGGAATAGTTAAAATGGGCAAAAGAAAAATCTTAAAGTCATGTGGTGGTTACATATTAGGGTCCACATATTGTTATGAGCAAAATCAAGGGATGATATTTTCGTCAATGTTGTTATTCATTTAGCACAATTATTTTTCAAAGCGCATAGATGTCGCATGAATTCTTACACTATATATTATGCTATTTTATTCGATAACACACTTATTTACATAATCTCATATTTGATGAAATGTTGCAGGAAGTCGGAGAGAGCCAAAGAGGAGACGCAGCGAACAGTCTAGTATACGAAGCAAACCTCAGACTTAGAGATCCAATCTACGGTTGCATGGGTGCAATCTCCGCTCTTCAACACCACATTCAGTCTCTTCAATCCGAGCTCACCACCGTCCGTACAGACATCCTCCGTCACAAATACCGAGAAGCCGCCACTCTCACTTCCCTTCGA